CCCCCCCCGGCCCCCTGGCCCCGCGGCAGCCTGGAGCGGCCCCCGTCCGGACACCGGGTCCCTGCCAAGCCCCGCGGTGGCCCCAGGCCAGGAGCCACCTGGTCATAAATCCCAGCCTGGCCCCCGTTGCCCAAGCGACAACCGAATTTCCCTGACACCTGAGCCGAGTTTTCCATGCAGATGGAGCCAGCTGGGACAGGGGCCGCCCGGCCCATGATGTCCCCCGCGTCCCAACCCTGTGTCACCCCAAGGGACAGCAGAGAGAGGCGGCAGGGGACGAGGTGGCGGCTTGGGACGGATCCAGCCCTTGTTTGCACTGGTTGGGCTGGAGCGCGGCAGGGCCACGGGGACGTTGCTCATGGGCTGGCACCTTCCCAGCCCTGGCGCGGGGCCACCCGCTCTGCCCGCGCCGCGGTGCCCTTGGGTGCTGCAAGGGAGGTTGTGGCCTCGTGGGTGCTGCGTGGGGGAATGCAACCTCGTGGGTGCTGCATGGGAAAGTGCAACCTTGCAGGAGCTGCATGGGGAAATGCAACCTCATGGGAGCTGCATGGGGGAATGCAACCTCATGGGTGCTGCAAGGGGGAAATGCAACCTCATGGGTGTTGCGGGGGGGGGGGGGAGCAGACGCGGGGGGGGGGGGGCAATGTAACCTTGTGGGAGACACATGGGGAAATGCAACCTTGTGGGAGCTGCAAGGGGAAATGCAACCTTGTGGGTGCTGCAAGGGAGAAATGCAACCTTGCGAGGGCTGCAGGGGGGAAATGCAACCTCGTGAGTGCTGCATGGGGGCAATGTAACCTTGTGGGAGACACATGGGGAAATGCAACCTTGTGGGAGCTGCAAGGGGAAATGCAACCTTGTGGGTGCTGCAAGGGAGAAATGCAACCTTGCGAGGGCTGCAGGGGGGAAATGCAACCTCGTGAGTGCTGCATGGGGGCAATGTAACCTTGTGGGAGACACATGGGGAAATGCAACCTTGTGGGAGCTGCAAGGGGAAATGCAACCTCGTGGGTGCTGCAAGAGGGAAATGCAACTTTGAGGGTGCTGCATGGGGAAATTCGTGAGTGCTGCATGGGGGAAATGTGGAATGCAACTTTGTGGGTGCTGCAAGGGGAAATGCAACCTCGTGAGTGCTGCATGGGGGAAATGTAACCTTGTGGGAGACACATGGGGAAATGCAACCTCGTGGGTGCTGCAAGAGGGAAATGCAACTTTGAGGGTGCTGCATGGGGAAATGCAACCTCATGGGTGTTGCAGGGGGGAAATGCAACCTCGTGGGTGCTGCAAAGGGGAAAAGCAACCTTGTGGGAGTTGCAAGGAGGAAATGCAACCTTGTGGGTGCTGCATGGGGAAATGCAACCTTGTGGGAGTTGCATGGGGAAATGCACACGCAACGG